GTACTTTCTGTGAGATCTTAAACCACCCTGTTTCATCTCAGGCCACATAGTTCAATGAAACAAACATGATTTTGAAGTCAAGTCACCTGGTTTGAATCTCTGCTCTGGTAGTGTGGCCTTAGGTTTGATGACCGATCTGAAGCTCATAATTAAAACATGGCAATAATTTTCTTTCTCTGGGAATGTTGAGAAATTTAATGAGATCCAGATCTCTAGCTCTAAGCCCGACACTCTGTAAGCATTTAATAAATGTTCATGTCTTATCCATAAAGAAGAGATGGAAACTCCTGCCCCTTCTATGTGACAGACCTGAGGAAGTTGAGTTTTTGAGAAATTGCTATGTAGCAATGTTTTAGGAACTTGGGATGTGATCAGTAGTTGAGGGGATTCCTGGCATATGCAAGGGTCTAGTTGCATCCCCAATTGTATAATTAGAAAGATGGAAAGAAAGGGAGGAAGGAAGAATAGAAAGAAAGAAGAAAAGAAGGGAAGAAGGAAGGAATAAGGGAAGGAAAAGAAGAGATAGAGTAGAATATTGCATACATTCTAACTTGCTTAAGCCTTATGGTCACTTTACAACAGAGACTTTATTATTATGTACTGATATCATTTAGTAGTGATTATTATAATTATTATTTAAAAGTAAATAAACTAAATTTAAAAAGTTGAATAACTGGCTTGAGGTCATTTAGTAGTGGCAAGAAAAACTAGGAAGTTTTTGGATGGTGTCGGGCCTATAAGAATGTCATCCAATAATATAACCACTTGGCTGATAATGGTTATTGAGTCCTTGGGAGAGGCTAGTGAATTGCACATCATATTTTAAAGACAGTGTAAAAGAGATGTAAAATACCTTATTAATAATTTTTATATTGGTTTCATATTAAAATGTTTTTGGATATATATTGGATTAAATAATGTTGTTAAAGTAAACCTAACGTTTTTTGTTTTTTTTTTGTTTTTTTTTTTTTGGTGCTGGAAAATCAGATTCAGGGCCTCATGCATGCTAGGCAAGCTCTCTACCACTGCGCTGTACCCCCCAGCTCTCTTTATTCTAAAAAAAGTTTTAAGTCAGTAGTGTAGTGCATGCTTGGCATGAACAAGGCCCTTGGTTCATGCCTCACTACCAAAAACAAAATAAAACAAATTAGAATTAAAGGCACATGTGGCTCAGATTCTACTTTCACTGGACTACATGGCCTAGAGCCCTGACTCATAACTGCTAATATGTTGTTGCCAGCTGTGAAGATTTTCTGGAAACTGAAATTCCAAGTTATGATATGGTAATAACGTCATTACAGCTTCTATATACAATTTCTTAGTGCACTGCCAGTATCAAGGGCTCTTTTCTCAAGGTGTAGACACCTCCGAGAGAATGACGTCCCAAGCCTTCTTCAGGGAAGTCTGGGAATGGCCTTGGGAAACTAAGTCTTTGACCTTGAATATTTATCCTTCTGCTTGCCGAACTGGAGGAGCAGCAAAGTAAGGAAGTGTTGCCCCAAATGAACTTTTGCTTCCTGTTCTGACCAGGGCTCAGTGAAGGCCCACATTTGGTTCAATGGACATCCTAACCTGCAGCTTAGAGGCCCAACAATGGGAAAGGGAGTTGGACTCTTGGCCTGGGAGTGCTTTTGGATCATAGCATCCTGTTCTGGGCAGATCCTCTTCAGATCCTTGGGTGAGCACGTCCAGTGACAGAGAGCTCATGCCCCTGTCTGCCCCACAGTTGGATAGTTCTACTTTTTATAAAACTCTTCTCTTTATGGTGCCTCCTTTTATCAGAGCTTAAAATCCATAAATAACTCCTACTCAGACTTTTTGGAATTGTGCTTCTCAAAACTGTAGAAAACATGGAAAGGAGCTCAGTGCCCCTAACTTGCCAAATCAAACTGTCCTGGGTAATGCCCAATTACAGTGCCCAAGGCTCCCTGTCTTACACACACAGGCACACACAGACACATTTACCACTTGTGAGAAACAAACTCATGAGCAGGAACTCTCTATCTTGGTGGCCAACAGTATGATCAGTTGTAAAACATGCCACTAGCAAGTTTTCCTAAAAATAAAGTGGGCAAATTTTCAAATTATTTGCATCTTAAATTAACTTGTATAAACTCAAGGTTATTCCTGCAGTAGTGTTTCTTGTGCTCATTGCCTGCCTGGACACTTTTTGGGCTGGAAGGGAAGGGTATGGTGTCACTGTCACATGACAGGCATTGTGCACAGTCTCACCTAATCTTGTCTCTGCCCAGGGATGTCAGTAATCTAGGAAAGGGAAAGGTGGGTCAATAATAACTCTGATATTGGGGCTCACTCTGTGACCAGCCGCGTACTAGGCACTTCACATGTATTCTTTCATTTGGATCTTAGCCACTGGTCCTTGGAGGGAGAACCATTACTGGCTCTATTTTATGAATGAAGAAACAAAAGAAAGGTTGGCTAACTTGCTTGAGCTTACCCACTTTGCAAGCAAACAAACACACTATGACAGAGTCTGGAGGAGGTAGGTACCTCAGCCTCTCTTGGTAAATCTAATACTGTAGTTCCATGACATGGAGGTTACATGGGGAAATCTGTGTGATCCTTGTCCAGAGACCTGGATAAGGGAATCCTGCCATATCTCTCTGAGGAGGACCTAGGAACACAGAAAAAAAGGAACTTAAAAAAAGGCAAAGGAATACATGATTATTTTTGGTACTCTGGCCTATCCTTAGCACAGGATGGCCAGGGAGTCCCACTGGACCTCTAGAGAACACTGACTTCAACAACAGCCTAGAACTAAAGCCAGCAAAAGGTCTGCTCTGCTGAGTTTCTTGCCAATGTGTCTTCCCAGTTCTCAGCTTTTAAGATTTCAACTGGTGAAAAAACCATACTTGCTAGCAAGAAATAGATGAGAGCACAGGGTACTGGGAGCATAGTCATGCTACGTTATTTGTTTGCTAGGCTCCACCCCTGCTAGGATGCCAGAAGAGAGCTGCAATGCCTCCCCAGGCGCCAGACCTTTGCAAGAGGCCAAGTCACCATGACTAACGCGACTTTGATCGTTGTGGTAATGACAGTCTTGTCATTCCTTCATTTCTTGCATATATAGGGGATGAGGAATTTAAATTAGGGTCTGTAATGAGAATGTGTTGGGCACATGGACTTCACCTGTTACATGGGTGCCAGCAGACGAACATAGTTGGGAACGGCAGGGTGAGAGTATCCATGTGGAGGTCTATTTGAGCTTCTGTATGATGACTATCGCCTAATGCAGCCACAGTTATAATCCCTTGAATTTCCCCTTCCCCTGGACCAGTCTCCCAGCTCTCTCAAGCCTCTTCTATGTGCATCTCTCTTAGTTTCTGCACCATCTTGCTGCTATTCTCAGGGAGGCTGTAATTCCTCAGTGTCTTCCTACTGTATCACGCCCACGGTGAGCTTGGTGCTCTGGACAGGACTGACCATCTCTTAGCATACTGAGGCCATGTTTTAGTCTAGACCAGAGATACTTACACCCTTAACATAGCCAAGATGATGTTCACTTTATGTATCATGTATCAACCACATAGCACAATTGGACCAGACTGAGCTGGTGGCCAATTTCCAGAATAACAAACAAATAGGTCATTTTTACATGGATTGCTGCCAAACCAGGTCTACACCATCCGGTACCTGTGCAATTAATTTTTAACCTCAATGCAGGACTTTGCTTTTCTCTCTGCTCTATTCCATCATGTTGGTTTCAGCCCTATGTTTTTTCCTGTTGAGGTCATTTCTTACTTCCATTCTGTCATCTGTAATGGTAACTGTGCTTCTCATTTTGTGTCTGCTGAAAATTTGATTCAAGAACACCCTGTATGTTGTCTTCTGAGTCACAGATAACAATGCCAATGAAGCAGTGCCAAGGACAGAGCTCTGTGGCATGCCACTAGAGACCTCCTTTGGGTTGACACAGAAAAACTAATCAACATTCTTTGACTGTAGTTGCTCATCCAGCTATGACTCCACTTCCTGTATTCTGATCCAGTTCTCATTTCCCATCATGTCCTCAAGGGCACCAGACAAAGACTTGTCAAATACCACAGTGAAATCAAGATACATTGGGTCTCTATCATTGTTTTGATCTTCCGCTTGAACAGATAGCTGATGCCATGTGATGGGCAAGAAATTTACCTCTTTGGGGGGTAAGGAAGAAAAATCAGTGTATAAATGAGTGGGAAGAAAAGGATTCACTGTAAAAGTATAGAGAAGCCCATTAAAATTGAAGGACAAGACATAAACTTATCCTAGAAATTATCATTTCATTCCAATTATCATACTGTTTTCTATAGAGTCCATTATGTATTATTATAATTATTGTGTTTCTATCTCCTGCATGAACATTTGAATTTTTCTTTTTCTTAAGTCATATTTATATTTGCTGTTATCAAAAGTCTTTTTAAAAATATATACCTTAAGTCAGGGACTATCTGTTGATCACTGAATAAGAATATATGAGAAGTACCCAGCCTAAAACTTGTACCAATGTAGGGGTTTAAAAAACAATTCTCTAGTTCAGAGCCTTATGTTCGGTAGGTACTTGATAACTGTGTGAGTGGATACACACACGCCTGCAGGACTGAGTGGAGCTGGATGTCTCACATCTCCTTTACATTCAGATGAGATGTAGTAAAGGCATTGGCACGATTATACCAGGAGACTTGGAACTCAAGTTTGAGCTGAGTCTAATCAGTATAGCTGATTCATGTCAACCAAACCAGCTTCAGGAGACACCAGTTAACAACAGCAAAATGCAGTGTGTTAATCCTCTCTGAGAGCTACTATCCGACTCCACCTCTAGAGCAGACAGCATATTCCCGGCGAGAGAATATAAACCAAGTCAACTTGATTAGATGTAGAGGGAGGGAAAGGCATGCTGGAGAGGGCCAGGCAAGGGCAGAGGGTAAGCCCATGGAGCACGTGACAAAGAGACCAGGATTGGGAAAGAAGTCAAGTTCTGTAGGTCATCAAGATCAGGAGGTGAACATGGGACTAAGCCTGGAAGAAAAGCCAAGAGTGCAGGTGCCATGAAAGTGCTGCAAAAATCAGGAGCAAAAGTGGGCATGGCCTGAGAGGGTCATGGACTTTGTTGCCACTTGCGAGGTGAGCCCAGAACTTTCTATCATTGGGGCCAGCCCCATGGGCTGGGGGTGGTCTGGCCCACGAAAGACCCAAATCTGGGCTGGCTGTTAGGATAGGTAGTCGCATCTGCCTACCTGTTTTGCCTCTTCATTACTGGAGAAATGAAAATACACTCTCACTATCTAAATGCTACTTTTGAACAAACAGCTGCTTGTTGTTACAAAAATACTTCATATTCCAAACCAGGCTCTGCAGTAGGGCAGTCCTGGGTTCTAAACATAGCTTTGTTGCTTAAAGCTGTGTAATCTTGGGTGAATTCCTCAGATTTTCAAAGCCTTAGTGTCTCCATCTGCAAACTGGGAATAATAATAACATCTACTTTATGATCCTGTTGGGAAGTTAAATTGAACCTATCTCAGATGCCTGGCAGGTAGTTGTAGTAAACTGTATCCATCATTGTTAACTGTGACTTTGGGCAAAAGTCACTTAATTCCTCTGAGTCTCATTTTCATGAATATAATAGCTATAAGACTTGTGAGGATATGGAATGGAATACATTTTTTAAAGTGTGAAGAAGTCAATAAAGGTAAAAAAAAAAAGTTACTCTCAGCTTGCTTAGATAGCTTAGGATAGTCTCACCATTTTTAAAACCCACCAAATCCAAAGAGGTACCCTGAACCAGAAGCTGAGGAACAATCTTCTATGTGTGTGGACACGTGTGTATGGGTGCACATGTGTGTGTATTGACTTCAGTACTATTTATAAAGCATAGTGAATGTCCACACACAGCATATCCTTTTGATGAGAGAGTTGATAGCTTCAATTATATGTCCAAAGGGGCCTATATCTTCAAAATGTCAGGAAGCACTGTCCTTGGGTAATGAAACTATAGGCAAACTATAGTCTTCCAGTATTGCTGCTAAACCTGTGTATGTGAGGATGCTTAGGGTACTGAGAGAATACAGTCAGCACCAAAGATAGCTGGGGTAGTTCCAGATGTGGGTTCATTTTCCCTGGATATTTTGTTAGCAACCAGACCTGCCCAGTCCCTGCTTGTTTCTGGAAACTTTGCACAGGAGCCTGAGCCAGCGATTCATTTCCTCCAAGTAGCCCTGCCCATTTGCAAAGACCTTTCATTCCTCATCTAGAGTAATTCCAGACAGGCCTGTGAATTCATTGGGCATTATGTCCTCTACTTTGTCACATGTGAAGGACCCCAGAGACTGTTCAAAATAGTGGCCCACAGTTTCTCTGCACAGCAGCATTGACACAGTGGGCAGTCAGGATGAGAGACGGTCTGAGTGATGCATCAGGATCTGCCCAATAGGCAACTGATAGAGCAAACTGGATCAAGGGCTCTGGCCACGACAGAACCTTGGAGGAGAGGCAAAGGGCAGTTGTGTGTGGGCGGGGTCCCCTTGTCCAATGGTGGTGCCCTATGGTGCCCAACTCACTCTCTCACATATCCCTGACGATGCAGAGTTGGGTGTGGTCTAGCATCAGCAGGCCTTGTGAGATGCTATGTCCTCCCTGCTTTCCTATCATTCCATGGCTGTAACACACGAGATTACTCCATATCTAAGGAGGCTCGGGGAGCAGGGTTAGCTCAGCCATGCTCTAAATATTGGGCCAAGCCAGCTTGCTTGCCCTCTCACCCTTCCTTGGGCTTGGGTAGCCTTGCATTTCATGGTAGCATCCTGTTCTTAGATCCAAGTTTGGATGTTGAGCGGAGCAGATGGTTTCCTTGGTATAAGGTCTAAGTACAGTCTAGCTATAGGGATACAAATTCGAAGCCCCAGCTAATTATAGAATTATTTTTTTGCAGCTAACATTTATATGGTGATGTGGTATGGCTTGCCGGCATTAAACACATTTAACTCTCCCAAAACCTATCAAATAAATACTACAATAATTCCTTTCTAAGAGAGAAGAGGAATGAAGCATGAGAAGCATATGACCTGCCCAAGGTCACACAGTAAAAAAGTGATGGTTCCAGGATTCAAACCTAATAAACACCTGTGCTGAACCACTGCTTCTGGGAGGAGACCATCAGTTCACTGTGCACATATCTATATCAGGGTCTTGCTGGGAGGAGAGGTGCACCTGGGCCAAGGCCTAGTGTATGTATTCTTGATTCAAATATTGCATCTGGCCTCAGTTTCCTCATTTTTTAAAGTGGAGACTGTTGATGCACTACTTTCTCAGAGAATTGTCATATGGATCAAATGAACTCCTGGTGTGAACTCTCTATAAACACCGAGCACCCACTAAAAGGCAGCACCTTTGTTACTGCTTAGCAGCTCTAAGTGTCCTGCTGCCTGGGGAGATATAAAATCTGTGATTCCGTTAGGGCTGCTGTTCAGGGGCCTTGAAGCCCATTTCTCCAAGGCCCAGGTACCTCCTCCTCAGTTTTCCTTCAGAGGAGTTGAGAGGGATATTTTGTTCTCTTGTCCAGAATGTGACCTGAGTCCTGGGAAGGGAAGATGTGCCAGTACCTGTTTTGCCAACACATGTCCTGCCCAGCTCCCAGTCAATCACGCCAGCCTCTACCAGCCAGCCACTGCTGTACTTTGTCACCTTTGTTCTCATTTGCCCTTCTCCCCCCTCCTGCCGCGTGGTACCTGCTCCTGTCATAAATGGGTGCCGTGCTGTATTATTAACAAGGCCAGACTCCAAATTCTGAGACATGGAACACAGGAGAAAAAAGCACAGAAAGAAAATTATAACCCACTTTTGTCACATTTCTAAGACTGTCCCTCTTGCCTACCTCCCACCATGTGTAATGACAGACTCAGTTGAGCATCTGCCTATCTGGTCAACAGTTCTCATGGCAAGTGGAAGGACGGTTCCACAGGCTGAGGAGGATCCTCCTAAGCCCCAGAATCTCATGCATTCTGACGCAGGTTGCTTCTAGGGAGAAATGGCATCTAGCTTGGGGTGTAAATGGTGGAAAGGGAAATAGTTTCAGTGAAGGAGGGGTATAGAGAAGAGGCAGCCGGGGCAGCTAGGAGGTTGGTTCAGTCTGGGGAAGGACCGTGAGGGTTACCAAGCTCCCAGTTTAAATGCTGGGAGTCCAAGCTGTGAAGCCGTGTGGGGCATCTGGGCAGTGGAAAGGAGGGTCAGAAGGCGTTTTCCTCCAGAAAGACAGATCTGGAAGCAGAACTGTCCTAAGTGAGTGTCACAGATGGTGAAACTGAAGCCAGGGTTGCATGGGCAGTAGCACAGCTAAAATTAGAACTGAGTTTCAAGTTAGACCTGGACTCACTGTGTTCTGATACTTTTTAACTCCACGACCCTGAATACTGTCCTTAACCCTCAGAGTGTCACCTTTCACCATCTGTGAGGTAGGGTGACAGTGTTGACTTTGGAGGCTGCCCTGAGGACTGAAGAAGACAGGACTAACCCTAACCTTGCTCTTTCTACTGCAGAGATCTTCCAGGCTGGGCAGCCTGACATTTGAGAGATCCATAAGTGTGAAAGATTCATAATCTGAGTCCTTTTGAGGATGGATTTTGGCACGTGTTCGGGGAGCAGAGCAGAGACAGTGAAAGGGACACACATGGACCAGAGAACGGAGAGTGAGCGTGGCCTGTCCTTCTCCACCGCACTCAGTTCTCCTTTGCGATGCCTCCTTTTCCATGTCTTGATGACTTTCCTTTCTGGCTACTCGTACTCAGCCATAAATAGAAGTACATTCATCATTACTTTCTGTTTTTAATGAATAATACACTATAGCCCCTGATCTGAATTTTAAGATCACTGTCTTTTTTTTTTCCTCTGTCAATTTATTTAACACTCATTCACTCAATGGGTGTTTTTTGAGCATCTGCTGCTATGTGCCCAACACTAAGCCTAGAGTTGGAGATGTAACAGTAAACATAGTAGCTCAAATTTCCTGCCCATGTGCACCGTCTCCTTCCATCTCATAATTACTCACCTCTACCCTCAGCCCTGAGTGAATATATTCAGTCTTTATTTTTATTACTTCCTTTACTAATGGCACTGTGTATGTGTATGTGTGAGAGAGAGGGAGAGAGAGAGAGAGAAAGAGAGAGAGAGAGAAACAGAGAGAGTGAGAGAGGAAGAGGAAGAAGAGAGAGAGGGAGAGAGAATGGTCCTCCACAAAGAAAAATCCCCACCATGGCTAAACCAGCTGTCTGGTATCATCAATGTAGCTAACACTTACAAGAAAGCAGAGGAAGTGGACCCATTCCCAGGATCCCAGAACCACTCTGCTATTTTCCAGGACATGGGCTTCTATGTGGACCAGGGCTCTTTGTCTTCCATGAGTAGCAGAGTGTTGGTACATAACAGGAGCTCAAAAAGGTTTCCTGAATGAGTATGGGCAGAAGCGAGCTTCTTGGAAGTATCTGGGTGAGGGCAGGCCCACATGTGACTGGCTTGGATCCAGGATGTCTGATCACGACAGTGCTTTTTCCTACAGCACTCATGATCCTGAACTATCACAGGAGACAGAGCATGGCCCTTTACTTCTTTCCAGATCTCTTTCTCCTGGAAGCCTAGTTGCTGCTTTCCCTGCAGCTGCTGCTTTACAGAGCGGTGGAAGCATCTGTGAGTGAGGGGAGGAAGGCCCTGCTTAACCCAGAGATGCTGTTCTCCAGAGCAGACGGAACAGGAGAGGTGACTGGCTGTTGCTTGCACAGTAAGTGTCTATAATCTACTCAGGGAGGTGAACCCGAGGCCTTATCCCTCTGAGCAAGAGATTAAAGGCCAGAACTTGTGATTGCTGCTCAGCTGGGGATCTCTGCCATACACTGACAGGGAGCCCCAGAGCACAGCTGCAGCTGAGGAAGTCAGCGTGGGGGACTGCCAGTGGCAGGCTGTTGAAAACAAATGGGGCAAAGAAATGATTCCAACACTATTGATTGGAGCTGATGTTTGCAGAACAGCCGGAAATGACTTACTTGGCTTTAAAACCAATAGGGAAACTGAAGTCAATGAGCCTAGGACAGATCTCGCTGAACCTGCAAAGGGTTTTTGTGTCCCTAAGCCTTTCCCACCCCCCACTCCCAGAAATACCAGAAATACCCACAGGTCACCACACTACCCACTGGCCCAGGGGATGGGAGAGGCACTCCCAGCAGGCCCTGCTCCTTCCTCCCCGCCTTTACCTTGGGTGGCCTCCAGCCTCAATGCTTCCCTCAGCCTCCTGCGGGCTGGCTGCTGCCTCTACTGCATCTGGCCCGAGGCCCCTTGCCAGGGTCATCAAGGCCTGCACTGTGTGAGGAGATGTGGATGAGCGCCTTCACCCCTTAGGTTCACTGAAACAACTGGAACTTTTGTTGTGATTGTCGTTTACTTAAAAGGAACTCTGCTAGGAAATTGAAAAAATGAACCAGGGAAAGAAAGCACAAAAGCCTAGAGATGGATGAGTTTGCAGAGTGGAACTCAGGATTAACGCACTGAGCACAACCTACTAGAAACCCAGGCCCCTCTCTTGTCTTCTTTTTCTTTTTCCTCCTCCTCATCCTTCTCCCCCCAACCCCTTCTCTCTCTCTTTTCCCGTTTGCCTTCTCCTCCATCCCATGCTGCTTTAGGGTTGCTGAAATGCCAGCATGGAAATAAAGGAGACGGAGACGCAGCTCAGTGGGTGAGCACTTGCCTAGCATGTGTGAGACCCTAGGTTCAATCCTTGGCACCACAAAATAAACAAACTAATTAATTAATTAAAGAGCATAGGTTACATCAGGGAAACTCCTATGTGAGAAAATTGGAACTAAAACCAGCTGGATGAAGGAGCACAGGTTGGAGCTAAAGTCATCTGCACAAAGGAGCACAGATTGGAACTGGAGCAGAGAGGAGGAGGGCAGGTTATGTGGAAGCAGCTGGGCTGCCCTGCAATCTCAGGAAGCTTCCGCAAGGCTGTTATGGAGTCTGAGCACCAAGGTGGAAGCTCAGTCTCTCCCAGGAATGGGCCTGCTTTATCCCTGCTAAGATGACTGCTCATCAGCTGAGAACATCCCCAGGGAAATGTGACCAGTTGGTGATGGACTGCAGTGCCTAGCACAGAGCCTTGGTTAGTGCCACTCCCTGTGTTGCAGACCTGCCAGACACACACTCAAAGACATCAGCACCCCTGTGTGTTTTGGCATGCCTGAAGCCAATTCCGAGTCGGAGTCCACCCTTCAGAGGACACTGACTTTATCTTCTTTCTTCCTGTGGATATCTATATGGCCTATGTTCACTACTCTCCCTCCTCTCAAGATTTTCCTTGGCTACTGCTGAAATTACAACATTCCTTCTCTACTAATTTCCCTCCCTAGCTTTTATCTTTACCTTACTTACCATATATATTTTCTTATTTATTTGGTTTACTGTTTCTCTGCCTTATTAGAACATGTTTCATGACGCAAAGATTTTATCTTATTTTGTGTTGTGTCCCCAAAGTTGAAACTGTGTCTGGCACATGAATGCTATCTGTTGAACTAATAAAAACGTGGCTGATGTTTGGAATACACTTTGGCCTCAATGTCTCCAGCAGCTGGGTGAACTCCAGAGAGATGGTGCCTGTGTTAGGTAGGGTTTAAGAGCATAATATTCTTCCTGGAAGCTGATGTGGTAGGTAGGTGCTGTGGTATACGAATTAATGCAATTGGGTTTGGCCCTAGATAGATTTCAGTTCTGGTTCCACTCTTGTCACTTATCAGCTCTGTGACCTTAAGCAAAGTAGTTAACTTCTCTGATTCACAGTTTCTTGTTGGTGAAAGAAGGATAAAAATGTACCCCTCCAGGAAAGTTTTAAAGTTGAGAGGGTTCTGATTACCTCGACTAAATCTTGATGAAGATCGTTCCTGTTTCCAAGTTAGCAGTTGCTAACAGTTTAACAACTATTTTTTCTATGGAAGGAGAATTTAAACTCAGAACAACTTCCCTGGGTGTTCAGGGTCCCTTTCTGTGCTCTGTCATCCCCAGTCACCCTGCTTGTACCAATAGCAATGTATCAGTCATGGTTCAATAGAAGAACAGATTTAACATTGTTACATGTACTATATAAAGTCTTTGCTAAGAAGGCTTATAATGGCTGCATGTGGAGTCAGGCATGAAAGAATGCAAAATGGCCTCCTGCCCACTGGAGAACCACAGGATCCAGTTGAAGGTCAAAGGTCTGGAGGTCATGGCAGAGTCCTGTGTGAGTCCATGTTGGAAAATCAAAGGGACTGCATTGGAAGGTTGAAAAGTCTGCACTAGAAGCCTGAAGGAATTGGAGATGAACAACCTAAGGCAATAGCCAAGATTGGAGCTCTCCAAGGAAGCAAAGTAAATCTTCCTTCTTCTTCCCCTTTTTCCTCTATCCAGGCTAAAAGCCTATTGGCTGGTGCCACCCACATCTGGGGTGGATCTTTCCTCCTCATTTTGTGGCTTACATGTTGGGCATCTACAGACATATCTAGAACTGTGTTCCCTTAAGCTTCTAGGCATTTGTTAATCTGTTCAAGTTGACTTAACCCATTTTTGCCAATGATCACAAGCAGTACAGTTTTGGAATTCCTTAACCCTGAATATACACCATAACTAATAACTATGGTTTCCCGTGGGGCACTTACTTTGCATACATTATTATAAAATTTAAACAATTGGATCTCTGTGTTGACTGGGACTGCATATCTGTTCCCCTGTGATAGCCCCAGAATCTGGTGTTTAAAATGTTCTCAGTAAATATCTGTGAGGTCATCACAGCCAACTGTTTGAAGGTTGGTATTATCATCTCCGTGTTACAAATATGGAGATTAAAACTCACCTCACTTACAGAGGAATAGATGGGTAGAACAAGACCTAAACCCAGATCTCCCAGATTTAAACCCGAGTTTCCTGTTCCATAGAGCTGTTTCAGGAAGATTTTGTATCATTCTTCCTCAGAGGAAAAGCCCAGGATACAGGCATAATTTCACGATGGTCTCAGGATCTCAATAAGATCTTAGTTATAAAAACTATTGTTAATTTAAGAGTAACAATTTAGGGGACAGCGCGGCCTCATGGACATCATACCTTAATTTCTACAACTTTTATTGACATCTCATTATTTTTCAGGTTGAGTGAATCATTCTTGGTTGACAGGTAGACCTTGAATTTTTTTTTTTTAGTCCTTCCTGAATTCTTGACCATGTTGAGTCATTCCTTGGTAACTCACCACCAGTGTTGTGGCATTAGGACAACTGATGTAAGCCTTGTGACTTAGTTAGCCAACCTATCAATTTTCTTTATATAAGGCAATTTACCCCCTCTTCTGGGATCTTTGAAGGAGCAGTACAGTCCTTTATTCCCTGCAGAATGCTTTCAGAACAATGTCAAGGGTGGCAGGAGGTAGATGGAAGATAGAAGGGGTATATTTGTAAACTGCAAATGATGAAGTCTTTTAACAATTCAAGGTAGGATATTTCTGCATAAAGTGAGACTCAGGCACACACACAAATACACAAACACTTCTGTGTTGAAAAAATTTAGGCTTTATTTACAAACAGCTGTGTTTGCCTGCAAATGATGCAATTAAAATAGTGTTACAGATGAGTGAAGTGTGACCTTCGCTAGGGTCAGCAGTTTGAGAATCAGAGAAAGAGCTGCTGAGGGGTGCCTGGAGTTCATTCTCAGAATCCCTACACACGCATTCTGCTCTAAGGCTTGTGAGTATTAACTATTTAGGTAAGCAAATGGACATTTTATTTAGATGCAATCTACAGATACATGATGAGTAAGTGGTGGCATATCGATGAACTAGTGCATAACAATACTTCAGCTGTTCTAGATGTCACTGGCTAGTCAATGGCTCAGAAAAACAGAGCAAGTGCAGGTCTGAGTGTGGCTTAGCTGTGTGGATACACGTTGTTTCTGTTCACTAGCATATTTTTTTTCTAGGCACAAGATCTCAATTTTCTTTGGGGAACTATTTCTTTTTCCTTAGTCCATTGAATTTCAGAGGACATGTGACCTAGGCTTAGCCAATCAGACCATTGTATTCTTTTGACTCTTATAATAGATTCAATAATAGGCATATAACTTCAGTTAAGCTTATAAGAGTCTTACCCTAGATTTGTGCTGGAGCTTGTGGAACAGAGTTTTATTTGTAAGGGTTGGGGAGCCAGTAAGATGTAAGGGTGGAGCATCTGGGTAGGGGTAAAGACATGAAAGAAAGAGAGCCTGTCTGAGTGTGAAGCCAGAGTGGTAAAAGGAGAGGGACATGTCCCTCAGGACATCATTAGAAGCACCAGATCATGACATACCTCCAGCCAGTTTATCCTTCAATTTATGTAATATAATGAAATAATAAATTATTTTCCCCATACTTTTTGTTAACCTAAACTTGTTACCTGAAGCTGAATCTTGAATGATGTACTTCATTTGTATACTACTCTTTTTCCCCCATCAGATTGTAAGCTTTCTGTAAGCAAGGATTTTTATCCTATTCATCTTTGTGGCCTCAGTGTCTAGCATGTTAGAACTTCAGGACTGAACTGTAACAGCCAAAGAGAAGAGATACCAAGGAAGCTCACTTTAAACAAAGTGGTATTAAACAAGATGATATCCTGTCCTGCTTCTCAAGAGCAGAGACAAATTGAAGAGACTGCAAGGGACTTTGGGAGGATATTACAATGGACTTTGAGGAAGAGAGTGAAGGTAGATCTGAGAAAGATAGCTACAACAATCATC